TGTTGTTTTACACCCGTTCCATGACCACCCGAAAATTATGCAATTTTTCATGCAGTTGTTGTACACGTTTGGAAGATTTATTAAAATTGTGTATATGTTATACCTCTCTCTCTCTGTTTTATAGGTGTAGTATAATTTAAAAAAAGAAAAAGAAAATTAATATAATATCGTAACACACAATTAAGAAATGTAAAATGTGATAAAAGATGTGTTTAATATTACGAATAATTTAATTATCAATATTCTTGTCCAGATCGAGTTACTGATGAAGTCCCAAGTAAGGGACGAAACGTACAACTGGTTCAAAATAAATTGTTCATAATATTTAACAACCGTACAAAATTTCCTTTTGAGACTTATATTAATATTACGAATAATATTTTATGACAATTGTTCATTTTATAAAATCACATTATTATCATGCATTTCATAGTTATCTGAAAAGATTCTTTGTAAGTAGAAGCTGCTGCTGCTACTGTGTTATACTGCTATTGCTATTGCTATTGCTTGCTGTTACTTCTGTTCACTGGTCGTGCAAAAATGCATGGAACTCGTTCGAAGGGGTGCAGAAAAAGTGAGAGAGAGAGAAAAGGAAAGATATGGGCGGACAAAAGAACCGTATGAATCGCTCGACCGGTGAAAAACGAGATGCTAGCAGTCTCTAAATTCCGAGTCATATACTACCTACGTAATACACACACTTACAAACATTTATACACTAGCATACACACGTGTATAAATGAATACAGATATATATGTATATATATATACACCCATTTTTAGAATATATATATATATATATATATATATATTATATATCTAAATGTATGTGTATATGCGTTTTTATGCATGTGTAAATGTATGTATATGAACGTGTGCGTATGTATTATATAGATATGTACTTTGGTACAACGATGTCCGAAGCGAGGGGCGAATTAAAAGCTCGATGCTTTGCTTTGATCAAAGCTTGCACACGGCAAATATTCCAAGTTATTACAAAGTTGTAAGAGATGGTACGAATAAATGTAAAATACTGACAGACGAGAAAAATTAAAAACTCATTCGTTCAACTTTTTCAACGTTATTTATTTTCCAACTTTTTCTTCAAAGGAATAATTATAATAATTGGAATCATAGTAATAATAATAATTATTATTATTAATATTATTATACGGAATATAAACTCTATTGAGATATATACCTGAGTGCATAGAATTTAAAATACAAATTTAAAAAATAAAATTTTTATATAGACCAGATAAATAATGACAAACAAAAAAATGTTAAAGATACAAAATATCTTGAAACATATAATATAATGTATCTAATATTATTAATAAATAAAAATACAAAATGACGTAACGCAATTATTTTCTCTTGAACATTATAAAATAATGGAATTATATTGAACAGAGTTTCACATCTGATCTCTGTTCGATATCCAATAATGCAAAGCATAAAAAACAAAACATAAAAAAAGATAACAATAATAATAACAATAATAATAATACATATGGTCAATAGACATGAAACATTAAACATATGTTATTATTGGTCGCGTAGGTACTTGTTATTAAAAAAAAAAAAAAAAGAAAAAATAAAAAAAAAATATAAAAATGAAAGAAAGTAAAGAGGAATGAAAAAGTTGAAATTAAAGGGAAACGTCGAGCATGCATAATTGTCCACTTTGCTCGAAGCGGTCAAGCTATCAAGACGAAGGATCAAATTCGAAGTAAACGATTGGGTTGTACAAAAGGTGAATGGGGAAGGGGAAACAAAAAAGAAAGAAAGAAAGAAAAAAAAGAGAGAGAAAAAAGAATGAAAAAAAAATAAAATAGAAGAAGAAAAGAGAAACCAAGAAAAAAATAATAAAAAAATAAAAAAACGGAAAGTGGAAAGATTATCTTGTAAGAGAATTATATTTCGCATTTCGTTTCGTACGACACACGCACGATACAATTGTAGCAGCAACGTTTTGACCGGTGCAACACGACGACTAATTGCAAACGTGTCGACTCTTTGTACGGTAAATTACTAACTAACTAACTAACAAAAAAAAAAAGAAAGAAAAACTTGCAAATTGCTCCAAAAAGTATGAGGAAAATAAAGTAAAACAAAAACAATTACTTTTGAATTTCAAAATTACGAATATTAATCATTTGACTAATCGTAATGCATTCAATTATTATTTAACATATAAATATACAAATAAATGTATTAAAAAAATTAAATTTCTAATAATAATAATTATTTAAGAGACGACAATAAATAAATAAATAAAATGAAGAGAAATAAGAGCGATAAGATTAAATGGAAAATATAAATTTCAAATCTAAAACCAAATCGTAATACAACATATTAAGTATTTAACATATATCCACACACACTCACACACGTAAATAAAATATAAAGTAAAAATATCAAATCGTGAATATCAAACCTCGAATGAGATGATGGAGAAGCATCGACCAGATCTAATGATTTAATGATATTTTAATCTACCAAGTATAAAAAATAAAAAACTAACAAAACAAAAATATACAAATTAAAGGAAAAAATATGAGTGTATTCTCGATAGCATAGGATATAATTATAATTCAACGATAAATCATTTGGTGTAAGCGCGGACGACCACCAACACACATTGCGGTTAAGGTTTACAGATATATTACTTATGGTGGTTAAAAGAAGAAACAAAAAAAAAAGAAAAGAAAGAAGTAAAAAGTAAAATTGACCATTCGGTTTGATCGATGGATCGTTATTATCTTAAATGCGACTCGCTGATTGGTCGTCAAACTTTACCTGATAGTAGAAACTTGCTATTCGATTTAATTCGATTTTATTCAATTAAATTCGATTCGAGATATTCGACTTGTTTAATCTCTTCATAGAGAAGATAAGAAATCCACGTGAGAATAAGAGAAGGTGGGAGAGGAGGAAGGGGGAGGAGAAGGGGGAACTTTTAATGGGCCGATGTAATTCAATGTCGTTGCTAGTATCGGTGGTGGTATCGTCGAACGTTAATTATGCAAATGAATTAGTAGTAACCGTTGTGCTACGAATTAGCATCGTCGTTCGAAACGAGATACACTTATACACGTAACATGACTTCATTGTATATATATATATATATATATACATCCCATAAAAAGATAACAAGAAAAAGAAAGAAAGTTTTGATACGAATTAATTTACATTTCACATAAATATATTATTATATTTATATTGTATATAAAACTAAAATAATATCTTTTATCATTTTCTATATCATGCATAATTTGTACGTTCATGGTATTTCATTACGATCATGCACGTTTTTTGACAATTATATATTGTCCTGCTTGTTGAGCCTAAATTTTGTTCGTTTCATATATGGTGTATGTTCGCACAAATGTTCGAAAAAATTGAATGAAACGAGACATTTCACGTAAGAATAAAATGTAATTCTATTCTTTTTGGAACATTGTTTCAACATCTGCCACGCGTTTCCTCGTTTCTGTTTGCTAAAAGAAAAGTTTTGTTTTTATACGTGTATTCGTAATTATATGGTGTACTGACAAATTCTTTAAAATAATTAAATAATAAATTTGTTTCAATAAGGAATCGAATTAATTCAATACATATATCTACATATTTTTGTGTTACAATTAAATTTTAATGTTTTATATGTTAATAAGTAAATTAATGAGTTTTGTGTTTGAATAATTGTTTTTAAATCGATTGAAATACTCTTTCCTGGAAAAAAAAATCTAATATTTATATATTTTAATAATTATATAACAGTGGACCGAATCAACATTATTGTAACATTAATAAATTTATAAATAAATACTAAGTAATACTTTGGAATGATTATTTTTTAAAATTGGCACCAATTATCCTAGCACAACTCAATATATTTGTATGCTTTTAAAAATGATATAAATTGTTACATAAATTTCTCATAACTATGACAATATAGAGAAAAATATGAAATAAATATTTCATGATGTAATCTATACTTTCATTATTATTAGCATCTATAATGAATGATAATTAGAAAAAAAAAATAAACTAAATCAATAAATGTATATATTCAAATTACCAATGTATATATTAAAAAAATAAATAACAAAAATAGATATTTTTTTTCTAAATTCAGGACTTAAAAAATATATTCAATATGTAATTAACGGCTTTTGTAAAAAAGTAAACTACTAATTGCTACCACGTGTGAAGTATTATCGCGTTAGAAACCATTCACGATTAAAGCTTATATCTTACTGATCCGCGTTCAAGCATGAACACTATCGTCTACCTTAGACGTTTTTTTATTTTTTTTTTACGAAAACGTGAAAGAAGGAAACGAGAAATCGATTATCCAAAGGAAATCGTTTTGTCTTTTTTTTTTTTAATATAATAAATTTTTATATGAATCGATAGACACGCATATGTTTAATTAAAAAATAAATTAATTCATTTATATTGCTGTGAAATAATTTTGCATAAATCAATAATAAATCCTATACATATTCTTATGTGTTTTTTTTTTCTTAAACGTGACAGAAAAAAAAAACACGTAAAAATTCATCGTCACGCATGATTTTATTTTTGTTTAATAAGTACTTGACTTAACTTAGTGTATTTACGAGTACAGATAATTATTATTAAAAATTATAATAATGATTATATAATACTATAAAAAAAACATTAATGAAGAAAGTTTATTAACATCCTCAAAAGAGAAATGATTTATAATTAACGATCTTTCCAAAGTAGACACTAACGCGAATTATTTCCATCGCGTTTCGAGCAAAGCACATCGTTAAACTGCTCGTAAAGCTTTTACGAATAAGAGAAAAGTAAGCAGAATAAGAAAGAAAAAGAAATGGAAGTCTCGAAGTTCCTGTTGGGATAAAAAAGAAAAAAAGAAAGAAAGAAAGCGACATGTTCGTTGCTTTTAATTAAGTCTCTCAGAGTTCTTCCACGATATGCAACAGTGTTGCATAAGAGTACCTTACCTTCTTCATCGTGTAGAGTTTCCGGTCTCGTAACAGCATATACAGCTTTTTCCAAGTTGTCGAGCTCCCGTCCTTCATCCAGACCGGACTGTACACCTGCGGGCACTCGCCGTTATCGCGGGACAGGTAAGCCTGCAATTTATGATTCACAAGGATTAGAAATAAAGAACAAAATAAATACCAATGGAAAGAGATCATAATATTCGTTAATCTTTTTATCAACTAATTTGTAATCAATTAAGTATTAATAATAATACAAAATAATATGTATTATATATTTATTATAATTATAATAATAATAATAATATACTATGTAAGTACATATTATATATTTTTAGAGAGTAGTAGTAGAGTATATATATATATATATTAGTTTTTTCAAAATATTAATTGTTTTAATTTGACCACTTGTAAAAAAATTACATATAGATAAATACATATTAGATTTTTCGGATTTTTTAACATTGAAAAAATCCAGCACGAATACATATAACTAATTTTTTTATCGTGTTATCTGTTTTATCTTTCTTATATATATATAATTCGCAAGGTAAGTCTATTTCTTTTTTTTATAACGTAGAGAAGTGTAATAAAAAGAGTATGAGAAAAAAAAGCAAGAATATGAAGAAGGAGAAGAAGAAGAAACGGAAAGAAAGAAAGAGAGAGAGAGAGAGAGAGAGAGAGAGAAAGAGAGAATAGAAATATTAAACATTAGGTATAGAAACTCGTGTTAATACGTCACCGTGTTCTTCAGCTACGGTCGAACTAACAATGATATAAAAACCAAAACAACCGAACATCGTTGCTCTCAACGATAGACAGAGAGAGAGAGGGGGGGGGGGAGAGATGGAGATGCTCATTCCTCTCCCGACCTTCGACAGGTTAAGATCGATAACAGTGTGACAACATATTTAATTATTGATTTATTTCATTTATAACGTAATCGTGTTAATTTAAATACTTTTAAGAGATTTGTATTACATAGAACGGTATAAAAAACGGTTTGTTTTTTAGTGTACTCTTTATTAAGTTTGTTTATTCAATTATTGTTTTTTTAAACAATTTCAAAGCTTTTTAATTAATATTTTTACTAACTTTATATACTTAATATGCAAGTAGTGAGATTTAAACAATTGATATTGCTTGAGTATGCATATTGAAATGCAAAGCGTGTACTATCAAGCAAATATAATTGCATACTTTGGTACATTCCTACAAATATTTGTATAACTTATACTTTTAATTAATTCAATCATCATAGATAATTACAATTTCTTTTTATATTTAACAGTGATTCTTTATTATAGAATATTTTTTAAAGTGTGTGTCTTGCCTTCAGAAATAATTGACAGGGAATCTTTTATTATAATCATCTTTTTAGTATGTTTCAGCTTCACAGAGTTTTTTCTTTTATTTTATTTTATTCGTCGTCATCCTAAGGGTAGGAAACCCATCCTGCAGTCATCAATGAAGACTAAAAGTAAGTATATTTTTTTATCAAACATTTTTATAATAACTTTAATGGTTTTTTATTATAACGATGACATTAATTGTTCTTTTTCTCTTTCTGTTTTAGAACGTCATTGCAATCGTGCGCGTAGGCAATGAAGTACACGTGTGTTGCATCGATAAAATTAAAATTACAAAAGAATCGGAAAGTAGAATCAGTGTTGATCGTCGAATGTTAAAAAAGTTTCGCTTTTTCGTGTAAAGAAACTCCGTAAGTTTCTTTTATTTATTCGATTTAAACGTGTGCTCATCGTCATCYTAAGGATAGGATATCCATCGTGCATTCATCACTGAAGAATAAACGTAAGTCAATTTTTATATTAAACATTATCTCAATAATTATAAAAATCTGTTTATAAAAAAATGGTGTATATGATCTTGTTTTTATTTCTGTTTTAGATCATCGTTGGAATAGTGTTACACATTTGATTAATTAAATTCATTTGGAAATTCGTTTAACACTAGATTTGTTCATTATTGTTTTATTTACTATTTTTTAAAAACTTATAAAAATTGTTTGAATGAAGAAAT